GTTTTACCTTTATTTAATTTCAAAAATTCTACACTCTCAGATAATATATAGTTGATGTTTCTAATACTACCTTGCAATGTGGGTAAAATTACGTTACGGCTTGCGTGTTATTATATTTGTTGCTAGGACAACGAGTATGACGATGGTGAAGGGGAGATCTTATTCATTCCACAAACACCAGATAATCGTGAATCAACTAGCTGAGTTTTACTAAACTCATCGCTATAATTCTATGCATTTAGTGCATTCAGAAGTAGGGTAGTAATCCAGATCTGAATCGTTTCAAATATTCTGAAATCTTCTTGATAAAAAAAAAAATCATTCCTCCGGTACCTCAGCGGTAAGTGTGCAAGCTCAAGACGCTAAAAAATCGGGTTTCGAAACCCGTGGTGGATAATTCGAAGCACCTACTGGATCCGTGTTCAAATACTTGTCTACTTTACTGTCACTGAAGTTAAGTTCACGTGATACATGCCTGTATACATGAAGAATAAAGGTGTAAAAAAACTAAGGATTCCATGGTTTTCTAGAGGAATTTAAATAAAATATATAAATCTACATGTATGTAAATCTAGTTAGACATGTAAAATATTTGGTTGGGTGGTGGTAAGTCAACCCTCTAATTGCCTGCCCATAGCAACACAACATAGTATGGTGATCGTACCCATAGTGAGAGACATTATAAGTGAACAATGAGAGAGACGTCTTGTACTCAGTGACTTTGTTATTCAGAGGTCTCACGTTTAAGTCTCGATTCTTGAGTTTCTTTTCACTTATTGGCTTTCTTCTGTTTAATATTTAAATATTAGTTTTTACGGTGTTTATTAATAAAATTAAGCCTCATAAAATGCTGAGCTGAGAAGGAAACTCAAAAATCCGTAAAAAATGCCAACGAGGTTTTTTTTTTTTTTTGAGGATGTGGTGGTTTAAAAGTAATGAAAAAGCGATATTAAAATAAATTTGCACTTAAAATATTAAAATGACAGACTTAATAAAACAATACGAGCAGTGGTTTAATCTAGTTGCGTCAGGGAACGTTTTATAAAGTATATTTCTTCACTAAATTAGGGACGGCTAGCGCAGATAGCCCTCGTGTATCTTTGCGCAAAACTTAAAACAAACAAACAAACAAATTGAAATTCATTTATTAATCTTTCAACGGAGATTTTACGTATATTGGGTTGTCTTAAGTATTAGTGATGTAATAAATATAAAAACATTCAGACTTGTTTGAAATTGTATGTATTCGATCTAACCTTGTTCTTACACCTCTATGATTTTTGAATCCGCAATGGACAAATTAAACAGAAATGTGGAGAAAAACTTCTACAGTGAACGTGATTTTTATCACCAGTTTTAACTATATTCTTACATTTCTTTGTTGACAAACTTCACAAATATCTTGATGACATAAAAGACTCTGAGACACTTGGTTCATCCTCTTATTTCTTTATTTCAAATCTTTTACTTCGAATCGATTAAACTTTTAACATATTTCATATTTTCGTGCTGAAAATCACTATATTAATTTACCAGTTGGGTTAATAGTAATGTAATATATGTATATGTGTGTGTGTAGACACCAACATCCTGTATATAAAAACTAAACATCAGAAAAATTAACACTACAGATGTCTTGAGCAGAGCAAAAATACTTGTTAATATGTTAATAATGGCTGGAGACGGCTTGAATGGGTAATAAAGAAAAACTTTAATATAAGTTTAACATAACAGCAAATGAACAACTTTTCCACAAGAATTTGAAATCATCATCTTTGTCTGAACGTTGTAAATTTGCGGGTATGTTTAACTTATATT